CTAAAAAATTAACCAGGTGTGGTGGTGCATCCCCACAGTCACAGCTACTTAGGCGGGAGGCTGAGGCAGGAGGATCACCGGAGCCCAGGAGGTCAAGACGGCAGTGAGCTATGATCACTCTACTGCACTCCAGCCTGGGCAACAGAGTGAGGCCCTGTCTCAAGAAATAAATAAATAAAAATAAAAACAATCTCAAGAGATGACATATATTGTGTATCTTCCCTGCACATAGTCAGTGCTTAATACATGTCAGCTTCCCGATCCTCTCCCCAGCCTCATCCCCTACTTAATTCTGCAAGAGCGGCATTTTCTGGAAAGCGAACTGATAAAAACATTGTGTTAGGGTTTCTAAAAGGGTAATAAAAATGTGCCCTCTTTGCAGGATGAAAACATTTGAGGATCAGTAAATTAACAGAAAAGAAAGCGGCCCTTATGGTTTTTATTCCCGTTTCAAATAAATCTAGCTACATGGCTTTGCTATGTCTTGAAAACAGAAATAACCTCAAAGAGAAAAAAAAAATCAGAGTTTCACAGAGGACAGAGGCTTTCCTTCTAGGAAAGGGAAAATGAAGTTTCACGCCGGATAATCCCAACAGCTCTGTTCTCTACCTTCAAGCGTACACAGCCGGGCCTCTGCAGGCAGCCCAATTTTCTGAGAGCAAATTTCAGGAGAGGCTTTGACCCAGACAGATCTTTTCTGGTTTCAATCAGGTCAAACTAAGGGCGGCGTAAGCTCCTCTCTCTAGCCAATAGCCAATAGCTGGTCTTGCCTAGCTGGTCTACTCCTAACACGCCTGGCCCCTTAAGGAACAGGAAGTAGCTGGAGAGATCAAGGCCAGGGAGCCAGGGGCGGAGGGGTCTGGAATCAGGCTGGGCCCTGTCAGCCACATGGGAGTCTGATTTTTGTTCTACGTGCTATTGGAAGCCAGTGGGGGAATTTAAGCAGAAGAGGGACAAGCTCTTACTTCCTATCTGGCGGTAGTGTGGAGTATATTGCAATAGGACATATTCGAAACTGGAAAACCAATTATGGTTGCTTTTACTTGTGTTTTCAAGTTGTTAAAAAGAATTATTGGCCGGGCGCGGTGGCTCACGCCTGTAATCTCCGCACTTTGGGAGGCCGAGGCAGGCGGATCACGAGGTCAGGAGTTCGAGACCAGCTTGGCCAACATAGCAAAACCCTGTCTCTACTGAAAATACAAAAATTACCCAGGCATGGTGGAGCACGCCTGTAGTTCCAGCTATTCAGGAGGCTGAGGCAGGAGAATCGCTTGAAGCCGGGAGGCGGAGTTTGTGGTAAGCTGAGATCGCGCCACTACACTCCAACCTGGGCAACAGAGCGAGACTCCATCTCAAAAAAAAAAAAGAATTATTGCCAGGCCTTCTTGACTTAAATAAACACAATATTATCTTAAAGAAAGGTCTAGGGGTGGTGCACCACAATGAGGAACAAAGGTTCTAGAGCAGTGGCTCTCAAACTGGGTTGGGGGAATGGTGATTTTGTCACCATCCCCATTCCCATCCCAGGGGACATTTGGCAATCTCTGAAGACATTTTTGGCTATCACAAATAGTCAAATGCCTAGTCTAGATGCCTACTAGACTGGCATCTAGGAGGTAGAGGTGCTACTAATGCTACCAGGAACAGGACAGCCATCCTCAGAAAAGAATCAACTGACCACAAACATCCAACAGTGTCGAAGTTAAGGAAGCCTGTTACAGAGTTGAGTTTACTGAATTTGGGTCCTAGCTGGATTTGGGTCCTAGCTCTCTCACTTAATAACTGCGTGACTTGGGGCAAGTTACTTAACCTCTCTGTGATCTTCTCCACCCTTAAGCCCAATGCTTTTTCCTGCTACCAAGAGATAGAAAAGGAAAATGGAAAGGCTATCTATCCCACCTACCTTAGAAGTAGGAAGACCTGCCTGGTATAGCCAGGGAGAGGGGAGGGAAAAAAACAGGATAAGAGGGCCTTCCTAAGCAGCCAGCAGGAAGAGGTACCACCTACCTCTAAGTCTCCTCTCTCCGCCATAGGAAATTGAGAAAGCACAAGGAATGCTTTAGGGAAAGGAATCTGACACACTGGCTTTGAAATAGACAGAGCCAGGTTCAATTCTATCTCCACCAAGTAGAAGTTGAGTGGCCTTGAGCAACTTAACCTAAATTTCCATTAACTGTAAAATATGAGTTATCCTTGTAATCGTAAAGCATGATGACTAATTTAGTCAATCACTTCAAGAGTTTATTGTCTACTCCGTGTCAGGTAGGGAAAGAAATTGTGCAAAGCATCAAGTTAGATCCCTGGCACATAACAAACATTCAATAAACGGTATCTTTTTAACAAATATATCCTTCTGATTTCAAAACGTGTTCACTATAAACTTGTGGAATCTACAGTATAGTAGACATATGTTTATCTGCTCAGCATTCCTTTCTTTGGGGAAGCAAACTGTTCCATTTCTATAAAAGCTCTCCTTGGCCCACGTTCACCCCCACAGGCATGCAACCCAGCTGCACCCAATTAGAATATTCCATTCTTCTGGCCACATGCCCAGGAATGGACATGTGAACCAAGCTGAGACAATCGGACTCTTCCCTGGGCTTTTTCTGGAATCCCAAGCTCTAAAGACTACACGAGCATTGCAGAAGGCCATCTTGTTGCCATCTGGGCAGAGTCAGTCTGAAAATGGATTCAGAGACAAGGGATAGAGACACAGTCAAAGACCTGGTGATGTCATCTGAGTCCCTGGATCCAGCCCTACCTGAAGCTGGTCTGACCCCTGGACTCGCAAGTTATAAAAGTCAATAAATGCCCTTTTGTTGAGTGAGACTAAGTTAAATTTCTGTCACTTACAACTAAAAGGCGTCAGAATAAGATAAACAGGAAATCATGGCACCCCTAATCTCAAAACCCAGAGAAAACACCATGACCTTTGAATGTGTGGTCCTCCCAGGTTTTATTGGCGTGATTGTTTGCTTTGTTTCATTTGTATGTTTTGGGAATGACTGGGGTGATTATGTTTAAAATAAGAAAATAGGTTTTCAAACCAGACCCCTTGGGCTTGAATCCTGACTCTGTCCTTTACTTAGCTGTGTGGCTTTAAGAAGGTTACCCAATCTCTCTGATACATGAAACATATATAGTTATGTTCTCCTTTTCTTAAAGTTGTAAGTTGACATTTTAAGAGAGAAAAAAAAAAAAGAAAGGTAACAGCTGGAAAACATAAAGGAAACAGACAAACTTCAGGAAAATAAGACTAAGCTTCCTGAGCTGTTCATTCTTTATTACGCTAGAATGACAGGCTCCAAGCAAACACTGAAGGGATGGGAAGGTGATGGTTGAAAGATCTAAGCACTTTCCAAGGGTTTTTTTATTTGATTAATGAAAAGGATGAGAATAACGTGTCCAGATTTAAAACAAAACCAAAAAACTGGTAAAACAGTTCTCATGGCTGCATCTGGATCAGCCATGTGATACATCAAAAGGTATGTGTTATTGATTAATTATCAAAGCTCATGAAACTTTTCCTCTATTACAGCAGATTATTCGTGGATGTTGTTAAAAGAACTTTGCTCACTCATTGATATGGAATTATCAAAGTTCATGAAACTTTTCTTCTATTACAGCAGATGATTCACAGATGTTTTTGAAATAACTTCGCTCACTCATTGATATGGTTCAGCTGTGTGTCCCCACCCAAATCTCATCTCAAATTGTAATCCCCATAATCCCCACATGTGGAGGGAGGGCCTGGTGGGAGGTGATTGGATCACCGGGGGCAGTTTCCCTCATGCTGTTCTTGCGATTGTGAGTGAGTTCTCATGAGATCTGATGGTTTTATAAGGGCTCTTCCCCCTCACTCTCTCTCTTTCCTGCCACCTTGTGAAGGAGGTACTTACTTCTCCTTCCAACATGATTGTAAGTTTCCTGAGGCCTCCCCAGCCATGTGGAACCGTGAGTCAATTAAACCTCTTTCCTTTATAAATTACCCAGTCTCAGGTATGTCTCTTTTTTTTTTTCTTTTTTTTTTTTTTTATGAGACCGAGTCTCACTATGTCACCCAGGCTGGAGTGCAGTGGCGTGACCTCAGCTCACTCCACCTCCCACATTCAAAGGATTCTCCTGCCTCAGCCTCCCGAGTAGCTGAGATTACAGGAGCGCGCCACGACACCGGCTAATTTTTGTATTATTACTAGAGATAGGGTTTTGCCATGTTGGCCAGGCTGGTCTCGAACTCCTGACCTCAAGTGATCTGCCTGCCTCGGCCTTCCAAAGTGCTGGGATTACAGTCATGAGCCACCACACCCGGCCTCAGGTATTTCTTTATAGCAGTGAGAGAATAGATGAATACTTTCATAATATAATAACTTCATTCACTTTTACTTTCTTAAGTGGGAAACAGAGGACTAGCATTAGAGCATAAGCCATCATTGAGCAAAGTCCATAAAGACTGCGCCTGAGGTATCAATCAGCTGTTCTTATGACAAATCATTATAGTGCTTTCCTCCTCTGAAAGGTTTGGGGTTTCATCAAAACCTGGGGATGCTAAATGCACATGTGTAAAAATCATCCACCCTGTGTCGTGAGAGGAAAAGTTAACAGTTAGTGCTCTGTAGAATACATAACTGAGAAAGCAACGGTAGAGTTCAAATGGTACCATCTGCAAATAATAAGGAACGGTACTCATGGCCTTGGATGACCACACTAATGTACGGAATACAAACCAAAGAAAAGACTTTTCATATTTTGAGCCAAAATGAAACTCTATTCATTATATCACTGGGACAAAGAGAATGAGAAATACTGGAATGGAAGGAAATGCCTTGTGTAAAACAAACACAGCTAAGAGAAGGGTGCAGGGAATGGACTGTGGATATAGTAACCAGACTATATAGGAATCTAAGAATCTCAATTTCAAGATTCAGTTTTGAGGAGCTGAGTCAATATTTAGAGGAAAAAAAGAAAATCCAGTACATTGTGTTGTTTTGAGAGTGACCGACCTTCTCCAACACCGGCCCTCGGGATGAACCCTCCAGGTCCTCGTGTACACGATCCAGCAACCAGAGCAGGAATTCCAGGGCGTCATGCTGGGAATTGCCTTGGAACTGAGAGCCATACTTGGAAACTGCATTCTGAAAGGAAAAAAAGGAAATCCAGAGGTGAATTTGGCCCCTTATACAACCAAACGAAGGCTCTGTGAGCACCAGGTCTACCAAGTGGTCATTATTCAGCCCTGACCTGGGATGACAGCATGCAAACCGCTGGGGTGGAAATGTTCTTTCATGCCAAAGCCCGCCCTTTTGGGGCAATGTCCCCAAACAGTATGAGGGTCTCTGTATATAGGAGAAGATATTTTCTTTCCAGAGGCCTGCTAATGTATGTTCTATCCTTTGAAAACCCAGAGGGTGGTCTCTGTTGAGTATTTTGATACTGTTGACCATCTGACCCACCGAAGCTCTCTCCCTGTGACTGCTGGGGTATGATGCTCCACTAGTCTTCCCTCCATTGGTCTATTCTCATGCTGTCTCTCTCTGTTCACCTAGATGGTGAACAGCCTTCTCACCCTACTTGCTCTCCCTTGCTGATTTCATTCATTCCCATAACTTCAACTCTTTCTTCTATCAGAATACTGACATTTGCAGTGAAGTTGATTTCCTTAAGTACCATGCATGTAGCTCCTCTACTGTCTCTTTCTAACATGTATGAAATTTAAGGATACAAACTTGTTTCTGTGGTTAGGTCATCAAATGGTTGAACCAGCCCTTCACTACTTTGATGAATACGTATTGAGTGCCAACCACATGCCAGGCACTATTCTAGGGACCGGGGATACAACAGTGAACAAAACGGATGAACACTCACTGCCCTCGTGGTGTTTGCATTCCTGGTCCCCCTTGCACTGTCCCTCTATTAAATTGTGTAGCAACTTTGTCATTTTCTGCATAAATGCACACTCCAGCTTTTTAAAAGTTTATTGCAAAGAGTAATATATGCACATACTAAAAAACAATAATGCAATAAAAAAGGATGATAATGAACTCTTCCTTCTACCTGGCCTTCATCCCATGGTACCCCTTCTCAGGGGACAGCCACTTTTAGCACTTCCTTCAGCATCTTTCCAGGGACTTTTGCTATACATGTGTGAGCATGTGGGCATCTGGATGTAAGCAAATCACCTGTCTATGTGTTCACACATGCACATGCACACAGCACACGATGGCTGTGGTTCTCTCTTAGACTGCAGAGCCAAACCTCCAGTCTCATCCCACGCAGGTCTGTTCTCTGCTCACGCCTGCCAAAGGGATTGGTCTTAGCCAGGCTGAGGACCAGGACAATCCTTAACACTGCCAATCAAATCAGGCGGTCTGGGCTTTTTTTTTTTTTTTTTCCTTTCTTTTAATTTTCCCTTGAGATTTAAAGGAGCCTTTAGAGGCCAGGTGCAGTGGCTCATGCCTGTAATCTCAACAATTTGGGGGGCTGAGGCAGGTGGATCACTTTAAGTCAGGAATTTGACACCAGCCTGGCCAATATAGTGAAACCCTGTCTATACTACAAATACAAAAATTAGCTGGGCGGGGTGGTGCACGTCTGAAATCCCAGCTATTTGGGAGACTGAGGCAGGAGAACTGCTTGAACTTGGGAGGTAGAGGTTGCAGTGAGGAGAGATTGTACCACTGCACTCCAGCCTGGGTGACATAGTGAGACTCTTGTCTCAAAAAACTAAAAATAAAAATAAAGGAGACTTTAGGATGAGACAAAGCAAAAATGCAAGATTTAATTAACTGAAATGCTGGGTTTGAGTCTTTTTTTTTTTTTTTTTTAAGACAGTGTTTCACTCTTGTTGCCCAGGCTAGAGTGCAATGGCGCGATCTCAGCTCACTGCAACCTCCACCTTCGGGTTCAAGTGATTCTCCTGCCTCAGCCTCCCAAGTAGCTGGGATTACAGGTGCCTGCCACCACACCCAGCTAATGTTTGTATTTTTAGTACAGATGAGATTTCCCCATGTTGTCCAGGCTGATCTTGAACTCCTGACCTCAGGTGATCTGCCTGCCTCAGCCTCCCGAAGTGTGGCTCTGAGTCTTTATGCCAATCACATTAGTTTGGACTCTTCCCCCAGGCTTCTCTGCGTGTTGATTCCCAAGTAGGGCTACCAGATTTAGCAAATAAAAATACAAGATGACCAGTTAGATTTGAATTTCACATAAACAATGAATACGTTTTTAGTAGAAATATGTCCCATGCAATATTTGGGACGTATTTACACTACAAAGTTATTCATTTTTTATCTGCAATTAAAAGTCAGCTGGGCATAGTATATTTTTCATCTGGCAGCTCTACCCTCAAACAACCCTCAAACCTATCTTCTTGTACCAACACATTCTCTTTGGGGTGAGCAGCTGGTCCTTCCAACTCAAAATCTCTAAAACCAGCTCATCCTTTTAATGTAGGTGTCGTCTTTCAGGTTCTCCTTCATATCGGTCAGCTGTCAAGCAGTCTGGATGCTGGCTCCCAAATGTCTCCACCCTTCCCCTATAGAAGAGTCTCATCCCAACTGTTGAGTTCCACCTGTAGCTGACCCAGACAATAATATGTACCTAAGGAGGGGCCCAGCCCCTAGGTTCTCCCCTTGCCAGCCCACTGACTTCATGGTAGACCAGACCAATTTTCCTACAGCTCAGCTGAATAGTGTCATGCTCTGACTCTAAATCCTTCCTTACTCTCCTGCTCACCACCAAATAGTCCAAGAACCCTCTCTGTTTCAGCCCCAAGCCATATCATTCCATGTTTCAAAGCTCCAGGTAAGTAATCCACCTAGCTGCCCCAAACATGCTTTCCTACTTCTACAGTCGAGACCTTTCCTTTTCTTTTTTTCCTTTCTTTTTCTGAAACGGAGTTTTGCTCTTGTTGCCTGGCTGGAATGCGATGGCACGACCTCGGCTCACTGCTACCTCTGTCTCCCGGGTTCAAGCGATTCTCCTGCCTCAGCCTCCCAAGTAGCTGGGATTACAGGCACCCACCACTGTCCCCAGTTAATTTTTTTTGTATTTTTAGTAAAGACGGGGTTTCACCACGTTGGCCAGGCTGGTCTCGAACTCCTGATCTCAGGTGATCCACCCACCTCGGCCTCCCAAAGTGCTGGGATTACAGGAGTGAGCCACCGCACCTGGCTTAGACCTTTGCTTTTGTTCTTCCTTCCATGTGAAATCCATTCCTCTCCAGTTAATCATGATGATCCTTTAAGCCTGACACTCTTCATCTTAGCCTGGCTATAGTACCTGACAACCTTTTCAGAAAGGAGGTGACAACTTCAAGAAGCCAAGACAAGATAGGGCCTTAAACATGTCCCTCTCCATAAACAGCAATTCCAGTTTGGGGGATTTTGCCTTAGGAAATGGGAGATACAAGAAGAGACGTCTTCACACATCAAAGTTATCTGGGTGAAAACTTATGACACAGTCAGATGGCCTTAAAATTTATGACTGATGAAATACAAGTGATAAAGAAAATAATAATCTGGTCATAAGAAGAAAAAAATGCAAAAATACATATTGGAGATTGTTTTATGTATATATTTATAGATAGAAAAATAAAAGACCAGAAAATACATGGCAAAATAGTAGCAAATGGTTATCATAGAATAATGGGATCATGAGCAATTTTTTTATTTTCATTTGTAAATGACAAAGTTTTTTAACAGTGAACATTGTTCTTTATTTGTCTTTTTCCAATTATAAAGTATTTGGCAGGTATTTCTCAGAATTATTTTTAATAACCTCCTGATGACTAGAGAAGTCATTCCCCTAGAAAGTCTATGGAAACAGGCTAGGGGTTGTGGCTCACGCCTGTAATCCCAACATTTTGGGGAGCCAAGGTGGGTGGATCACAAGATCAGGAGATCAAGACCATCCAGGCTACTAAGGTGAAACCCGATCTCCACTAAAAATACAAAAAATTAGCTGGGTGTGGTGGTGGGTGCCTGTAGTTCCAGCTACTCGGCAGGCTGAGGCAGGAGAATCACTTGAACCCAGGAGGTGGAGGCTGTAGTAAGCCGAGATCGTGCCCCTGCACTCCAGCTTGGGCAACAGAGCGAGACTCTATCTCAAAAAAAAAAAAAAGTCAGTCTATGGAAACATAACTAGAACTGCACAAAGCAGTTCCCAAGAAGTTAATTAGCTTGGGAAGAATGAACTGCAATATTTGGTTACTTATCCCACATCTTTTTTTTTTTTTCGCTGAGGTCTTCTATGTTGACCAGGCTGGTCTTGAACTCCTGGCCTCAAGCAGTCCTCCCATCTCGGCCTCCCAAAGTGCTAGGATTACAGGCATAAGCCACCGTGCCCAGCCCTATATTTGGTTATTTCTCTCCTTCAACATGGCATAACTCCATCTGTGTGTATGTTTTCTTTCCCAAACATTGACAATTTTTAACATTTCTTATTAAAATTAGTCCTAGTTATTTCATATTTCTGGTTGTTTTATGAATAAAAATCTAATTTTATATGTTCCAAATGGTTATTCCTTTGATTTTCTACCTTCCATCTGATGTAACTAATGACACTAATAAAGTTAAAATAAGGATTTCTAGAATGTTTTAGCAATTTTCTTTCCATTTAATTTTTTTTTTTTTTTTTTTTTGAGACGGAGTCTCGCTCTGTCGCCCAGGCTGGAGTGCAGTGGCGCCATCTCGGCTCACTGCAAGCTCCGCCTCCCGGGTTCATGCCATTCCCCTGCCTCACCCTCCCGAGTAGCTAGGACTACAGGCGCCTGCCACCTCGCCCGGCTAATTTTTTTGTGTTTTTAGTAGAGATGGGGTTTCACCGTGTTAGCCAGGATGGTCTCGATCTCCTGACCTCGTGATCCGCCCACCTCGGCCTCCCAAAGTGCTGGGATTACAAGCGTGAGCCACCCGTTTAATATTTTTTACTCCCTTTCCATTTTATGTCTGTTTTGTGCAGAACTTCCAAAACATAAGAGTGGTGAGGAAGGCATCCTTGTTGTTAAAAAGCCATGTCTCCATTATATCACTGTTGACCTAAAATGGATGCTTAAGCACATAAGATAATATAAATTCCAGATGGCTAAAATGTTTCATATAACCATAGAAAAGCTGGTACATATAATCAAATATTT